CCCCAAAACCCCAAAACCCCAAAACCCCAAAACCCCTGGTTCATCTCGATTAATTGAAAATGGAGTTATATGCACACTTAAGAAACACAATTTCAAGTTCATCCAACCTCAAGAGTATAGAGAAGGAAGGAGATGCTAGCTTCTCTGCTTAGATCGAGCTTGGATCATCACTGAACTCTGAAGGAGAATCCTTCTTCATTATTGTCAACTGGTCTTCATTGGTATAACTACTTTGATCGTTTAAATTATTCTTGTGATGTAGATAAGAAGGAGCAGTCAAACTGTTCTTGCCTAATTGAGGTTTTTTAAAGGCTTCAAAATTGCTGCTATCACTCTCTTTCTCAGGCTCCATGTCGTTACTAATATCATTTGAGTTTCCAATAATCTCTTGAGAAGATTTTTCATTTTCTAAAATTAACGGAGCTTTCATCCTTTTTCTTGGTTTTGAAATTTTGAATTCTTCTGAGCTATCTTTACTCCCTTCAAAACTAAGCTTTTTCTTAGCACCATTTCTAACGTTATTCATACTGTTCTTTTCATGTTGGCCTTTCTTCTGGCCTGATTGTCACTTGGAATTCGAAATTTTATCAGATTTCTTATCTTGGATTCTCTCTCCTTGCCCTTGCCTCCTTCCTCTTGACGGTTGGCCCTTGAATTTTAAAAGTTTCTTCTTATAGACTTTTTGTGTTTCGCTCTTAATTTGCTTGATATAAGAACGCTTTCTCCTCTTATTAATGTCCCCAAGCTCTTGCATTTTCTCCTCATATTCTGATTTAGTTATATGAGCTTGCTCATACTCTTTATGTATCTTCTCACTTCGATCTTGGTAGACTTGGAGTTCATGGGAGGTTATTCCCTTAGACCAGAATTGTTTATTCTCTTTCAGGATTCTGCCTATGAACAACACTACAGAAAGAGCCAGAGCATTGATTACTAGGATGAAGAGAGCAAGCACAAACCTATTAGCTAGCTCATTGCTGTATAATTTATAAAATCCCTCTTGGAATTTTTCCTTGCTGGCTAAAGCAGTAATGATAAAGATGAATGAGATCATCATGAAGAAAAGAGTCTTCGCCATGACAAGGAAGAGAAGCAAGAAATATTCAATGTAGTTCTTGCCACCGATGCAATTATTTAGAAATTTGCAATGATTGTCAAACATATCAACACATTTGTTACATTCAAGACAATGTTGAGCCCTCTCGTGTACATATGCATCACATCTATCTCAGAAGTAAGAGAGGTCTTGGTTTTCAATAACAGATTCGCTCTTTTCACATCTCACATAGAGCACGTTTCGGTCAACAGGGTCGGTAAGTGTAACTTTGAGACAGCAAACAATAATGCCAATTAGAAGCAAGCCATATATGATACAAATGAATATGAATAGCCCTAAAGGAAAGTAATAGATGCCTGGTGCTAAGAACAGGATAAAGACAATGGATAGGACAAAAATTACTTCCCAAGTCCATAACTGCTTAGGATGGAGAGGAAACATTCAGCCATGATTTCTGATCTGTTTTTCACTTTCATTAGGATTTTCTCCTTTCTTATTAATTTCCAGATCATTATTTCCAGGTTGTTCATCTTGCATTAACGAGCTATGGTCATTATAGCTAGATTCATTGCCATGTGGGATATCAAGAATATATCTGCCAGATCTAAAATGAAGTTCATGCTCCTTGCTGGATTCAGGTGGACTTTCATTAGAATCTCTTTTACTTCCTCTCTGTTGTTCATCTTCTTTTCTGTTACCTGGTTTCATTTTTATTAATTTCTTATCAAAATATGGGGTTTTGGGGTTTTGGGGTTTTGGGGTTTTGGGG